TTACGTTTAAACTTTTGAAGATCAAAGTTGACTGGGAAACAAAAAGGCGAAATAGTGTTCCACAAGCGAGAAGTGCGATAGAAGAAACTATCAGCATAGAACTTACTGTTATAGCTCTTTCAACTATAAAATGATGAGACCTTGCCGCCAACCTAGTATTACTCTTCAATTCATGAGGTCTAGATACCTTAGAGGAAAGAAATATTTATTTTGAAAATACAGAAATGTGGCACAAGGCCAAAAGGGGGTGGGTAGGGGAAGGCTGGTCTTTGATCGGTTTTATCTTAGCCACAATTACTGATCCAAACATTCCACAGTATTCCTTACAACACATTATTACTTACCATTCTTACTACAGCCACCCCAGCACCTCGAAGTCTCTATGAGTTTCTAACTAGTTCGCTTATGTACAAATCTGTTTATGGGGCGTGAGGAATAAAAATAAAAACTTTTAAAAAAGAGGGAATTTCATCAGAACAATTATCATGAAAGTATTTATAGAAAAGACACAGGGAAGCTACGATACGATAGTGTTAAAGTGACTGAAGCTGAGATGCCAGGTCAGGACCAATAACAGTGCAAGTTCTTTTTTTGGATTTTATCAAGAATCTTTAAATATATAGCAGGAGCACCAGAACATATGCGATAACAATATCCAATGTAAGGACGAATGGTAGTCTCATAAATATGTAAGATAGATTCTGCTGATAAATATTGATTTGCTTTGGTTTGGTCTCTTTTACGGCATATCAACACCTCAATGGGCTATTTAAGGCTGACAAGATTTTTATTGCTAGTAATAATTTTTTCTTAAAAAATGTATTGCTGGTAATATTTTTTCCTTCAAAAATGTACTGTTGGTAATATTTCTTTCTTCAAAAATATATTGTTGGTAATATTTTTTCCCAAAAAGTATAGCTGAAATATTCTTTTCAAAATTTCAAAATTTATTGCTGGTATTAAAACATATTTTTACACTTTCATAGTGCTTTGACTCCAGCTTGGGAGTTAACCAGCCGCCTATAGCTGAGACCCTAACAGGTGCTACCACCCCAGAACAGGGTGGACCTGGAAACACCAGCAATTAAGAGATGGTTCCATGCTCCTCAAAACCTCTTGATCAGAGGTCTTGCTGTTGGATGTAGTTTATCGTCACAATTACTGATCCAAACATACTACAATATTCCTTACACAAAAACAACACATAATCCCTGCCTAAAGTCCTTGTGCAAATGGGTAACTGAACAAAATTTAGGAGAGATAACAAAAAAAAAAGACAAAATATACTAAGTGCTACAGAGTACAGGAAATTGTGGAGAGCCATCATCGCCAACGCCATGAAGGAACATGGTACACAGAAGAAGTAATAAAATGTGAAATAATATTTATCAGCTGAGAGATGCGTTTAAACTTACTTTTACTCATCTATATTCCTTTCCATGAAAGCAAATTTAAGAAAAATAAAATCGAGAAGGAATTTTCTTCAAAATAATTGCCAATTTTTAAATTAAATCATTAGAATTTATTATTAACTTTTATTTGCATGTTGCCACTCATAACAAGTGTCAGAATTTGGATCGGAAAGTTTTCAGACTGTATGTTGTCGTTCTATCATTGAATAAAATTCTATAGTTCATTGAGATTAAGTCTACTGAGTTTGCCAATAAGATTCTTGCTATCTATCCGTGTTCAATTATTACATGAGGTTTTGTAACATGTGTTGGAACGGCTCTGCAATCTTTACGATAGGTGAAAAATTCGATCAGTACAGCTGCATCAAATTTTGTGTCAGGTAAGAAAAATCTGCTACTGGGACCCCTTGAAATGATTTGTATGGGCTTTGTCAAACATAGTTTAGGTCGAATATAGGTTTTTGAGCATGTGCTTTTAAAGGCCGTTCGAATATCAATTCAAGATGATGAGCGATCAATCACGAGGAAAACACCAGGACATGTGGGAAATTTCGTGAACTAATCGACTAGGACCATCGATTAACAGTCCCTCAGCTGTTTTATACAATTGAAATCAGAAGTTGCTGGTTCGATATCATCGGGAGTTGGAAAGGATTATCTCGTGCATTGAACTCACATTGTATCTTTCTGTTACTTTTCAAATATTCATTTACATTTTGGTATTGAATTAAAATTCTGTTCAGTATTATTGATAGTGGATAATCTCTTACATCTTAAAATTTTATCGTGGAGATTAAGATGATATATTTTCTATCGTTCTTATTCAAATGGGTTTCTTTCCTTTTGAATTTATTTTATGTGACACTCTTCTCTCCATCTGTAATACCTTCGGGGGAGGTCTTATTGTATCTGTACCTGGTGCAGCTGATGAGTCACTATTGGACAGTACAAGGGTTCGCAAGAGTATTTTTTGGATCGGCGTAGGCAGCCATCTGTGGAAGAGTCGATATGTGCCGAATTTTAAATTTCATCAAGTTAGCAGCTCACTCACTGTTAATATTCCATCTTTCTGAAATTTCCAGATATTCAAATATTTTCTATTTATTTAAAACGTCCTACGGATATTTCCCTCGATGTAGTTGCAAAACGTAAGCCATCAAATGCGCTGATAATTCCGATTTGGTCTTATTAGAGAAACCAGTTGTTATATCAAATTATTGCCATTTTTTTTAGGCCAGTCAGCGAAAATTTCCTTTGACTTAAACACAGACCCCACCGGAGAATAACTTGCTAACGATGGTACAATCAAATTTTAACATCAGCATTATTTTTATCCAAATCGCCTGTTGTAAATTTCTCTTTTTGTCATTACTTCTTTAGATTCTATCAAGATTGCATTTATTTTCGGCTTAATTCCTACCGTTTAAAATATCGATAATGAAATCTTTGATTCCTAAAGTTTAACGCATCTAGTCTTATCTAGGTATGGACATTTCTCTAGGTTAAATATTTGATCAATTCGACGTAAGTGGTTTTTTTACTATTGGCTTGTAAAATTCTAGTTCACCCGAGCAAGGAATTAATACTCTTTGACATTTTCTTTTCTTTTTCTTTCTTTTTTCTAATGGGGATGATTTTCCCGTCTTAAAAATACACATTACACTTCGAAGATATCTTATCCACTAGGCAGTCGTCTTAATATATGGTTTTCATTCATTTGTTTATCACTTGTCAGTCGACCCAGTACTTTCTGAGCGACTGTTCGGTTAAACTCACTTCCTACGGACGGGAGGAACCCGAAGGAGGCTACGCCGAAGGGCGGAGTCTCCTTCGGGAGGTAGATCGCCCTGAACCCGTTTATACGGGTTCAATGGGCATATTTTTTTGCCGGAGGGTTCGGAATGCCCACGTTAAAAAGGCCTTGTGCCACATGGACACCCTCGTGTGGCGGTGACTGAATATCGTCTTAAAAAATACACTTTACACTTCGAAGATCTTATCCACTAGGCAGTCGTCTTAATATATGGTTTTCATTCATTTGTTTATCACTTGTCAGTCGACCCAGTACTTTCTGAGCGACTGTTCGGTTAAACTCTCTTCCTACGGACGGGGAGGAACCCGAAGAGGCTACGCCGAAGGGCGGAGTCTCCTTCAGAATGCCCAACCCGTTTATACGGGTTCAATGGCCTTGCCCGAGCCCACGGGCTCGGAATGCCCATTAAAAAGGCCCACACATTGTGACCCCTCGTGTGGCGGTGACTGAATATCGTCTTAAAAATACACTTTACACTTCGAAGATATCTTATCCACTAGGCAGTCGTCTTAATATATGGTTTTCATTCATTTGTTTATCACTTGTAATTTCTAATGTTTTTTTTTTCTCATGTTATTTGTCATCTTTTTTTCTCTCTAGTTCTTGCTTTTCTTCTGTTTCGCCTTTATTTTTTTTTCTTTCTCTCTTTCTTTGAGTCTTTTTTTCTCTCAGGTTTTTTCTTTATTTCATTTTCCTTTTTCCATTTGCCCTTTTTATTGATTATTACGCCTTCACATGATTTACTCTCCTCCCTTCTTTTCATTTTTGAGACACCGTCGGGAAGCTTCATTTTTTTTGCTCCAACAAATTTGTCTATTGTAACCCGAATTTTTATTTTAGTCTTTTGCGTCACGTTTAAATCTAGTCCCTCTGGGAGTTTTCTGAATGTAAACTTCTTCAACGGAACAATTTACTGTATAACAGTACGCTTGTTTAGCTTTCGTTTGCTGATGCATGCACTGAGGTAAGCGGGGTCTGTGCAGAAGGCAGCCACTTAGACGCTTGTCTGACACTCACCGATAACCGGGTAATTATTCACATCTCAGTAACACTTGTCCTTTAAATAAACTTAATTTCCAGAGAGACTCGTAACTGAAAACTCAAACCACTCGACGCAAGAGAGTAGAAAGACAAGCAGCAAGAAGGTTGCTATAATCATAAAGAGGTGTAAAGGCAATAAGTTATTGCATTACTTTTCAATAGTGAAGACAGATCTATTTTCACTGGGAATAGTATATATAAAAAAACGTTCATCGTAGACAGTGAATTGATAACATTAACAGGTAAAGTTGCACCAGAGAATTCTAAGGGTTCTCATCGATCTTCATTTTCAAAGTGAACACTTTTATTTTCTTCAAAACTTTCAGTGGTCGGGAAGTTTTGATTGCAGGCGCATTTCTAACCAATCGACAGATCGCTTGCGATATTTATATATATATATATATATATATATATATATATATATATATATATATATATATATATATATATATATATATATAGATAAATATGTCATTATTATTTCATTATGCGTCTTCCTTTAAGACCATCCGAAGACTTTCTAGAATTCTTCCCAATTTTTTTTATTGCGCACATACTTTTTTATTTATTTCTTTTATTTCATCTTTTTCAGTCTTGCAATGCTTTAGTTATTTCCTCCTTTTTTATACGACCACGTTGACCATATTCTTTTTTTCCTTCATTCGCTCTTTCCTTTGTTCCTTCCTTCCTTTTATTTATGACTGATTACCTTTCTTCTTCGTTATATAGATTAGATCCTTAGTTTATTTAATGGTCACATTAATAATCATTTTTCTTTTCTTTTCTTTCTTTCTTTCTTTCTTTCTTTCTTTCTTTCTTTCTTTCTTTTTCTTTCTAAATTTATTTCTAATTTCTTTATTTCCTTCTCTCCTGTCCCGTTTTCTTTCTCCCCTCCAACTTTCCTTCTCCCCTACAACTTTCCTTCTTCTCCCCCTCCCACTTTCCTTCTTCTCCCCCTCCCACTTTCCTTCTTCTCTCCATCCAGCTTTCCTTCTCCCCTTCCCACTTTCATTCTCCCCACCTACCGCTTTCCTTCTTCCCCACCCACTTTTCTTCTTCATTTCTCTGACCTTTCTTCTCCTCCTCCTCCTCCCGCTTTCCTTCTCCCTCCTCATGCTTTCCTCCCCCCTCTCACTTTCTTTCTTGTTCCTTCCGCTTTTCTTTTCCCCACTCCCAATTTCCTTCTTACCTTCCCTTTATTTATTTGTTAATTTCCTTCATGATCACCTCTTTAAAGAAAGAGTGTCTGAATTCCTTCCTTCTTATTTTTTCCATGACTATTCTAAACATCTTTCTTTTTCTCGTTCAAGATTTATTTTTTAATTTCTTATTTTTACCTTTTTCCTTTTCCTTTTTTTACATATGCATTTTATTCTCGGGGAAAAATCCCATAACCAACAAAGAGAAACAATAAATAGATAAATGTACAAATCAAAAGAAATAATCTGAAATATCCGCGTCTCTTTTCACAGGATTTGTTTTACTAATTTCCAATTTTTGAACCAAAATGAAAGACATCTAACATTCATTTATTTCATTGTTTCATTAATTCTTTTTTATTCTTTTCTTTTTGAAGAGATTTACAATTGAATGCATTTATCGCGTCTGAATCATATCTGGCAACAGAATATTCGTTGATCAGTCATTGAAACATTTTCGAAATGAATGAGTAGGAAAATCATTCTTGTTTGTTGTGGTTAAGTTCAGTAGAAACAATTAAAATCCAAATGCCGAAAATAAAATCATCCAATAATTATTGTGGACTATCATAACTGCGAGGAAAAGTCATAACCGAATGAGTTTTGTATTCAAATCACACGACGACATTTTAGGAGATTTTAGGAGTAGAGGGAAAAGAAAGAAACACGGCAGCAGACATTAAAAAAAAAAAAAAAAAAAAAGTATTTCCCATAAAAATAAATTAATTAGGAACACAATTCATAATTGTCTCGAAATAAAATAACAGAAACAATATATTTGTATTTTAGGTTTTTAATGAAAAACAATAACGCTCAAGGGAGTTAACTGATAAAAGGATTATTTGATTCCAATACTAACAGGCTTTCTGCTTTGCAAAATGGCTGACATTCATACAAAAATGCACGCACATCATATAAATAATGAATTATAACAAATGGGTTTTGAAGAAAACAAAAAACTCTTACATCAATTTTCAAAGCGAGAAAAGATTGCCTTCCTTGAAAAACAACATTATGGAGATCATTTTTAAGCGTTTGGAAAAAAACCACGAAGGCGCATGAAATGGCCATAGCCGAATATTATTTACTCCATTATAAAATTATTTAAACAAAATCTTCATTTTACCATGAATCGATTATTGAAACAAAGGTGGAAATAATCCAAAGTTTTGGTTAAATAAAATATTTTACATTATTTTCATATGCAAAAAACATATTTGATGTTATTTCGCTGCAAATGACGTGTGTTAAATTTTTAGATAATTGTTGAAATAATCATTTAAACAGACTACCAGAAAAATATAACGACGCAAGATATTGAAATAATGCGATGTGTCGGATTTCCTAAGTTTTCTAATTGAATGTTAGTCTTATATTCAAGACTCTTAAACTTTAATATAACATTGACAGAATCCGTTATATTTATTAGGCAATCAGCATTTATTAAAGAAGGTAGATGGCCAACGTGGTCTTAATAAAAGAGGATGGGGAAAGAGGTGAATCAGTGCAAGACTGAAAGAGCAGAAATAAAAGAAAGGAAAAAAGACGAAGCATAATTCGGGAAGAATTCTACAAATTAGTCAGTAATCAAGTAATTAGACCCGTGTTTTTATTTTAATAATATAATCTTAAATGTTTCTATTAAAATAAAAGCATCTAATAAAAGCACATCAACCAATCCAGATGTAACTGATTGCAGATGAATGTGTTAACTCTAAATTAATATTAACCTAGGATTATTGAGTAACTCTTTATAAAAAGACTTATTAGTGATACCTAATAATTAGCTAATTATCTAATCGTATAAATCAATTATCACTATTTTTAACCTAATTTCAAAATCTTTAGTTCTGGTTTTTGGTTGCCTTAAAGACAATTCATGTAATAATTCTATTCTCGCTTTTCATATTGAAATATTGCATTTCGGAAATTAATATTAGGATATTTATTAAAAAATTCTGTAAGCATTTAATTTGGCAACATTCTTCTTATTCTATATTTATGCTCCATCGGAATGTGGACGATCATAGCTCTCCACAACTTTCCCTACTTTCCTTGCTCTTAGTATTGTTTGTCTTTTCACTATCCTTCCCAATCCCTGTTCTGCCATACACAAGCTTGTTAGGTAGGTTACTCACGGCTTTTCTTTGTCCGTCTTGCTTGCAGTATGCCTTGTGAGTATCAACTTTTCTAGGCTTTCTTTTCTCATTATCTGTTCCAGAGATTTCATCTCTCTTCCTGATTTTATGTACAATTGTATTTTTTGTTTCCATTTTTCCTAAAAATTACTCGTTGATTACTAACTCCGTAGATGGTATTCTCAGTATCCTTCTGTAGAACCAGATTTCTGTTGATTCACGTTTCTTTATTTGTGAGGAAATTGTCCAGCATTCTTGCCATATAGGAGGATTAATATTACATGGTAGTTGGTCACTTTTTTCTTTGTTTCTAACGAAGTTTTCTTGTTTCTTAATACAGGTCGTCGTCGACTTACGACCTGTGCGACTTACTATTGTTCAGTATTACGACCACGACTGCGAATTGGTCTGACTGGACGTCTGACCACGATATACCACAACCAAGCTGCAGCTGGTAATAAGATGCTTTGTATTTGCATGTATTTTGCTATGTTTTGCAACTAAAATGGTTTCTGTTTTTACAGTTGTATTTTGTTTCTTTTTTGTATGTTTGTCAAATCTTCAACCACCTGTACTCTTTCATGCAGTGTTTGACTTAAACCTGACAAACGAAACAATAATCATTTGTATCATCTCAAAGAGGGAGATGATACAAATGGTATAAAATGTAAAGAAAAAATAAAAATTATAAAAAATATAGTAATGCCTAAAGAAAGATAAAAATGATTGCAAAATTATTTACAGGTCGATTTACGACCAGATCAGTTTACGACAGGTCGATCGCAACCAATCATTGTTGTAAGTCGATGACCTGTAGTATGTTTTACACTTGACAACATTAAACATAAAGCAAGACAAAACAAAAAACACAACTGAATTACGGTGCCCAATGAAAATTTTGCACGATCATGAACTTTCTTCAAAATTTCATTACCATAAAGTATTCTCTACATATTCCATAAACTAAAAGCAGATTACGTATAAAGGCTAAGACTACAAATATAATAAAAGATATGTAGAATAAAACTTTGGAATATTATCAAAATTAATATTTCTCTGAGTCTCGCTATTACTTATTTTTTTCTTAAGTATGTTTATGCTTTGTTGATGTGTCATAGAGAAACAAAGCGTCAGTGTCATTTTCTTATATCTACTCATACTTCAATCAGAAGACAGAAGTCTACATAAACATAATTTTGCAATATCATAAATTGGCGCCATTTCCAATATTTTTCTCATAATTTATCATTGAATCCTATGTGACGCCATTTTCCTATTCAAATCTGTACATTCCCTAAGAAGAAAAGTCTAGAATCTCTATGAACTTAACTATTCAGCGAGATTTTCAGTAGAGTATGTATACAACAGAATAGAGAATCATTGTTTTTTTTCCAATAATATTTTAAAAATGAGATGTTTCAGCCCCGAAATAGAAAGAAAAAACAAAAAACAAAATGTAAATTAAAAAAAAATACGAATAGTTCGTTTAGACACAGATGTTTGGCATAAATTGAAGACACCTTTTGATATTTGGAAATAGAAATGCGACAGATATATTTGTAGTGATTCAACTAAAACAGAGGTTGATCATGAAGTGGTTTTGTACCTGTAGAATTTTGCTAGCTTCCGTAGACTTCTGAAAGCTTTGTCGATTTTCTACATTGGTTCATGTGCGCATTGGGTGTGAACAAACAAAAAACCGGTCTTGGTCTTGGGTGAATGTTAAGAGAAAATATCAATTCGATCAGACATTTGGGGCCACAAACGCAACGTTCGTTACTCACGTGATATGGCAACTCGGCCGTCGGCAGAACGGGGGATAAAGTCTTCCTTTTGTAAAAGTTGCGCTGTGAATAGGAAAAAAGAAAGGAAAAAAAGAGTAAAAAAAAAAAAAAAAAAAAGGAAAAGATGCAAAAAGAAGAAAGTATAAAAAAGATTAAGGAATGAAAGACAGGCGTGAATAAAAGAAGGAGAAAAGGAAGATGAAAATAAAAGCAAAGAAATTTGGGAGAGAAGAAAATGAATAGAATTTATGAAAACATTAAGAAAAGATTAATAAAAGAAAATACGTGAAAGTTGGCTGTACAGAAGGAAGGAAAATGCGGGTATAAGTAAGGGTAGTGAAAAATAATAGGAGGAGAAATGAAGAAAATAGGCGGGAAAATGAAATGAAAAAAAGAAAAAAATGAAGAAGAATAAAATAAAGAAGGAAAGAAAGAGAATAAGACTGAAGAGAATGATGAAGTGGGATAAAGAAAATAATTCAGGATAAAATTAGGGAAAGAAAGACAGGAAAGACAGGAAAGAAAGAAAGAAAGAAAGAAAGAAAGAAAGAAAGAAAGAAAGAAACGGACATGAAAGAAGGAAAGAAGAAGGGAAATAAGAAAAGAAGGAAAAGACTGGAGAAAGTCATGAATTATGGGTAGTAGAAAAGAATTCAGGATAAAATTAAAGAACGGAAGGAAGGAAGGAAGGAAGGAAAGAAAGAAAGAAAGAAAGAAAACAGTTAGAAGGAAAGGAAGAATAAGAAGAAAAACAGAAAAAAATAAAAAAATAATATTTAGTAAAACAAAAAAAAAGAAGAAGAAATATTTCTTTTTTTCTTGGCTTCCTGAACGAACAGAAACGACCGAATGAATAGAGAAAGCAAAGAAAGAAGCAAAGACGGAAGGGAAAAAAAGAGAAAGAATAAATAAAAATGGTAAAATCATTTGCTTTCAACTTTGATATTTATATTAAGTATAAAGTAACGTGAGAGTTGAACTGTTGGACAGCAAAAATGCCGAAAATAACAAACAAATACAAGAAGGAAAATAAAAATAAGAGAGAAAAACAAACTGAAAAATAAGGAATTAAAAAAATGTCGAAAACTTTCGAATATAAAATTTAGAATTTTTACCAAGGAAAAAATTGTGACTGACGAATGTTCTCACATTTCTGCAATTATTGTGAGCGTGTTTTGGCAGATTGATAGGAATAGGAAATAGGTTAGGGTTAGGGTACCCAGGTAATAATAAGGGTGGTGTTGAGAAATGTTAAAACTTATATCTTGCAGATCAGCTGTATATGAATACAAAGAATATGCGCGTTTCCATATACTTGGGATAAGAATAAATATTGTCTATTTTAACGTTTCATCCAAACAAGTTTGATTGAAAAGTGTTTGTTTCATGCTTGAACATAATCTCCAGGCCATAAATATTACGTTCAAGAATGATCACATTTACCCTATAAATATAGCATACCATTAAACTCTCTTCTTCCTCCTCTCTCTCTCTTTATATATATATATATATATGTGTGTGTGTGTGTGTGTGTGTGTGTGTGTGTTATTTTTTAATTTATTTTGTTTAAACGTTATTTTTTATGAATATTCAGGCCGGTAGATATAGTTAGATAAAAATAGTGTTTAACTAAAAAACAGTACCCATCAAAAAGAAAGTTTAAACAAAATAAATTAAAAATAACAATAAATCGGATTTAATTGTCTTTTCTTTATGTTAGGATACGATGCAGTGTAAATATGGATGTTTTCAGAATCAGCAGTGCGTGTTTATTCAAAATCACTATTTAGGTTTGTTTGACCGTAAGTCCTATGCATCCGAACGGTAAGGCATAGCAGGGAATATTCTGTAATGGAAACTCTAATAATAAAAAAGAAAAAAAACAACACAGAAAAACATCAACTATGAACCAGGTCACTGACCGTCTTTGGAAAATAATAAAACAATCTTTTTACTTCAGAAGGATAAAATATCCACGCATTCAGTTTAAAAAAAAATCCTTAATAATGGCTAACAGAAGAGCCGAAAGCGCTTGGATATACAGAACATTTGGACAATTTTTACACATTTTATGCATAAAAAAAAAACACTTATACGAACACAAGAAAAATTAAACAAAAAAACTTAACTGCAGTACCTTGTCAGTCGTCTTTAATGAAACTTATATATATATATATATATATATATATATATATGTAGTTGCATGTATGTTATATATTTACAGATGTGAGATGATGTTTATTATCAATATCACTACCATAGTCATCATTATAGATAGTGTATTTCTCTCCCAAGATAAGATCAGTAATTAAATATCGATGTGTATCTAAATTATTTCAATTTCTGAGTCATTTGAAATGTTTTCGTGAATCTCTTATAGCGCTCTTTCAATGTTATCCTTTGATGATTCAAGATCTAAATGTTTACAACTGCTAATTTTCTTATCAGCTTATGCATTGTTTTAATTCATAAGAATCGACAACTGGTGGTCTAAGTTTTATTCCAAGGAAAGATCATTGTCTTTAAAGCGTTTAAACTAGTTTAAGATAGAACAGTTAAATATTACTTCATTTCTTCCCACACCCTAAATTTCTAGGGCAGCTTTGATGCATTCTTTAAAATAATGCCTCAAATTTGTAGAATTTTGAATCCACTATTATAATAACTGAAAGAAAAAGACATAGTCAAATAGTTTTAATAATGATGTGGTATGCGATGGTTGATAAGTAAGGTCTCCATTTTTATAAATGGTATGCGATGGTTGATAAATAAGGTCTCCATTTTTATAAAATAAAAGCTTTTTGAACAGATAGAATAACGAAATTGCTATCAAAATGAAATACATGTCATTGTCTTCAATGGCAATTTTACTTTTCAACATCGTCATTTTTAAACGCTAAACATTTTTTCAAAGATTCTATCAACTTTTTCATCTGGTCTTTGAAGAAAGATTCCATTTTTCTTTCTTTTGTTCTTATCTAGAGCAACATTTTCAATTTTATTTTTGGTTGTTCCGTGATATTTGACCAACCTTTTTTTCTTAAAAACAATTCCCAAAGTTATCTTCCTGTCATTCAATAACCTTATAATTTTTTTTCACTTTTGTGCTTATATTTTTTTTACGCCTCATGAGAATCTGAAAATAAAAATGCAAATTTCAATCACTATATTATTATGCAATGTTGATTTCCGTGTCAACACTGTTTATATTTATTTAACAATGTACACACACACATACATACGCACACACACACACGCACACGCACACACACACGCACATGCACATACGTATAGACAACAATGACCAAGGTTTTGTTCCGAAAAAAATCAACAACAAAAGATCAAAACAAACACTTAACTCTCAGCTAGAGTGTTTCTAGGAAGTTAACGCGTGGAGTAATGGATAGTGGGGAGCCGAGTTCGAATTCCAGTCAAATCCATTATATTCACTTATGTGTTAATACATTTGGGAATGGTATGAATCTTCTTCTTCTCCTCCCCCAGCTAAATAGGGTAAATAAATATGGGTAAATAGCAGGACAAACTGGGTTCTATAGACTTGGATGGCAACTGGTCTACCGCAGAAAGAAATGGCAACCTACTGCGGGGAAAAATCTGCCTCGTCAGTCATGCATCGAAAGATACATGATCGCCTAAACGTGAATCACGCATGGCACATAACTGACTGAGTCTTTGTAATTAAAGTGCTTAATGTCAAGAGATATTAAGAACAAAAAATAAAATGTATAAGGTATTTGTCCCAACTCCGAGTTTCGAGGACATCGTAACCACTTGTTGGGGGGAGGGGGGCTTTGTAGTAAAATGGAGAATTTCATTTTATTTATTATTATGCATAGACATTTTTTAAAACAATTCCGCCATTATTTCTTCTTGTTATAAACATTATTTTTTGTGGGTACGCATCGTTGAGTTGCCTTTTTTTTATTTTTATTTTATAACATTTAGTCCAGTTGCTATTAATTTCGCTGTTTAATAAAATAAAATAAAAATAGAGATAGTAAACACGTTTACCTACTAAAAATGATGTTTCAGAAATATATATATATATATATATATATATATATATATATATATATATATATGGGAAGATTTTTTTGCTACACCGACCTAGCATAATTTTTAAAATGGGAAACATTTTATTAATCAAAATATCGGATATGAAATTATCGACTCGATTAAAAATAGAAAAAACTTAAGGCGCCTTACGTCCAACGCTTCGTCAGAAATAAATATCGTTGGAATTTAAAATAAACCACTAATATGAAAAATCTCATTGCAGCAGATCTTAAAAGACAAGCGAGATGGGTAAAAAATATATATATATATATATATATATATATATATATATATATATATATATTATGAAATGGACAAAATTCAACAATAATTTTAAGACATTTTTAAGTTTATACATTCTTTTTTTTAAAAGTACAATATTTAAGTAAAAACAAAAATGTCTTAAAATAATTGTCGGACGTCTGTGACGTCATTTGTTTACATTTGGATACGCATTGAGCAGATATGAATGTACGTGAGAAAATCATGGAAAATTGTAGTTAAAAAACAGTAAAATTGACCTTGCTAGCCGAAACGCTCCTCTGTGGCTCAATCGATAAAAGCTCGTCAGGCTATATGGCGGTTCCGTATAGGATACAAGTTCGATTCCTGTCGGAGGACGCATATTTGACAATTTTTCGGACATTCAGGCCGGTAAATGTTGTTAATACTGTTTATTATAAACATAGCATTTAATTAAATATTTGTATTTATGAAAAAACGTATGAACATAAAAATGTCTTAATTTATATATATATATATATATATATAGACTGCGGGACAAATTATTTCGAGATAACTATTTCTTCTAATATTTCCGATCTGCGCAATGTAAACAAACTGGGGCCATATTTGTTATCAGCACGGTGATTTGAGCGTGCCAAATTATTAGAAAAGTGTAAGAATTTAGTGAAAAGATGAGCCGTAAAAGCAGTTTAAGTGATGCTGAAAAGAAAACTATCACCTCAGAACTCTCAAAAGGTAAATCTGCCCTAGAAATTTCTAAAATGATAGGGAGGTGTCATCAAACAGTGAAAAAGTTCACCACTGACCCTACACAAGTACGCAAAAGGGCAGATAAAGGCAAGCCGAGGGTTATTTCACGTCGTCTCATGTCACGACTTAAACGAGAGGCCACGAAGAACCCTGGACTTACCAGCCAAGAGCTTTTCAGTGGTATTGGTGATCCTACTGCGTCTAAAAGTACTCGGTGTCGGTATCTGAGGGAAATAGCAACAACAGTCAGACCTGTATCGAAGCCTCCGTTGACAAGAAATCACATTCAAAATCGATTGAAATGGGCTGGGGACAATATGAAGATTGACTTCTCTAAAGTTTTGTTCACAGACGAAACTCGAGCAACACTTGATGGGCCTGATAGATGGTGCAAAGGCTGAGTAATGAACGGACAGAATCGCCATCAGCGTTTGAGACGCCAACAAGGCGGTGGAGGCATAATGATCTGGGGTGGTATTATTGGAAAAACATTAGTGGGCCAATGGAAAATACCAGATGGCGTCCAAATGACTGCTGATGCATAATTAGCGTTTATGAAGGAGCATCTTGAACCGTGGGTGAAAAGGCAAAGAGTTGCCTTCAGAAGGGCCATTGTTTTTATGCAAGATAATGCACCCTCACATGCTTCTCACAAGACTACTGAATATTTGAAACAGTTAGGCTTCGATGGACCTCGAAAAATGAAGTGGCCAGCAAATTCTCCAGATTTGAACCCAATCGAAAACCTTTGGAGCATCATGAAGCGAAGACTGTACGCCAACGGACGACAATTCAGGAGAAACGCTGAGTTGTGGAAAGCAATTCTTGACATATCTCGTGGCATTACAGCAGAT